ACCTGGACCTCCAGCACATCAGTATCAAAAGATTGCACGTAAAGGTTTTAAAAAAAAGTCAGAGTGCTTACAGTTATCAGAAAAGAATCACTTGATAGTAAATGTCAACATTTAGACAACGAACAGCTGAGAGAATAAATTGGAATGTCAGTCTTGAGTGCGTCACACAGATTTATTTACATTTGATGATTTTTGAGTTTGTTTTCAGATGCTGCCCCCTCACCTGCAGCTGAGCCTCCCTGCTAACTGCTAACTGGCTAGCCTGTATTTTTCTCCCCATCTCTGATTCTTAAGAATCACAAAAGAAATCTAACAAGTGAAGTATTTACTGAGAAAAACTCAAACTTAAGTTTACGTTAAGTTAACGCTGAAATACTTGAATCGGTCGGGAAAATACTGAAATCACCACCATGTCTGGGTTAAGTAGCAGCAGGCTGTTAGCTTAGCCTGGAAATGGTCATGGGCGCGGGCCACGCCTCCAAATGGACTAAATTATTTGGCCTTCCTGGATCGAAGGCGCCTCTTGATGATCTGATGGTCGCTCTCTTTCTCCTCCGGCTCTCTGCTGATGATCTGAAACGAGACCAAACATTAGAGCCCTCAGATGAAAGGGTGAAGTCTAATCTGCTCCTCCTCCTCCTGAGTGGAACCAATGGTTTTATACTAAAGACATCATTCTGTGATCACTCTATAAATGTCTCCTGTGGTCTTTCAGGCATTTAGTTGTTGCTGAGCAGGATGATGTCGGTCCGTCTCTTTAAACCTCATATTGAGAGTTCCAGTGAACAGCTGGAAAATGCCAGTATGACACTGGCCTCACATGACCGTAACCAACTGGACTCCATTGTCCAGTTGGTTACCTGTGAAAATGACGGGCTGTGTATAAAAATGAACAATAACTAAACAGTTAATGTAGCACCCTCTGAATTAAAGCTGAGGGTCTGCATTTCCATCACATCTGTGCTCGTATTTCAAAGAGTGCAAAATAACTTTTGGAGCCAAAAGTATTCGGAATACTCAAACGAGTATAAAGCTCATTGCGAGCCAGGAAAAAGGCCGGCATCAGCACCTTGTTAAGGAAAATAAACGTTCCTCGGAGCTTTGTGTGAATAAAAAGTAAGTCTGCGCTGATACGGACATGTTTGCACTAAACGCTGTGAGACTCACTGGGTGCGCGGGCATGTCGATGGGGGAGGAGATTTCGGGCCTGTAGAGTTTCCTTTTGTTCTTCTTTGCTCTCAGACTGAGGGAGGAAGAGGAGGCTGCTGCATCTGTGCCGGCCCGTCCGCTCACCAGGCTCATCATCTTCTTGGCTGCAGACACAGTTTTAGAGGAAAGCAGAAGCATGCTGAGCAGCATCCTTAACTACATCCCGTTAATCACAATGCTTAGTGTGGGTGTATAAATCATTTTAATCGCAGATTTAAAGCCTAAAAACTTTAAACAGGAATTATCAGTGAAGACGACTCGGGAGACAAATTAATCCAAAGCTGACGGCGTGTTTATCCAGCTGAAACAAACAAGCTAGGTCCATTATGAAAACTTGTTTGCCTCAGTAAACCAACGCTGGCTCTTAGAGTTACTCTCCAGGTTAAATAGGAAGCTCTTCCTCCAGGAAGAGGGATTCACGATTCGAGGATGAGCGGGGTGAAATAGGAGACTGAAAGCTAGAGCGAAGTAGTGGAGGAATTAAAATAAGGACGATAAAAGACGAGTGAAGGTGAGAAGAGAGATGAAGGGTGGGTCAGATGGCTGCAGATGACAGCAACCTTGCCTTGGAGCCCTGAGGCCACAATTAATTGACCGAGTGAAACTGTGGGTCCCTGAGGATAAAACAGAGAAGACTCTGGTTGATTCCAATATGTTGGCTGTCTTAACTCTCTCCTTTAAGCCATCATTAGTGTCCCAAACTCACTGCCTTTGCCCTTTTACTCTGTCAAACCTGCGCAATGCTTTTCCAAATAACTCCGGCAGGAGCTCTGAGGTTTGTCCTTGTGTGCCCTGCGTTTCTCTCCCCCAACACTCACAGTTAAATTTGAAGATTCCTAAAACCCATCTGGACCGATAAGATTGCCTCCTGGACTCTCAGTAAAAATAACTGCAGATGAATGAATAAAATACAGCAGAGGGGATCTACTGTATCTGTGGGGAAAGTTCTGGTGTGTGTGTGTGTGTGTGTGTGGTGAGATCCAGCAAGGTCTGAAATTAAAAGTGTTCCTTTTTTCTCCATCATATTTGACATTCAGACCATCACTTTTATATTTCTGAAACATTGCATCAGTGAAGGACAGCTCCTGATGGACTGATGCAGGCTCGGCCACTGCAGTCCTCACGTTCATGTTTTCGCATCCTGATGAATTACAAATTAAAATGCATAAAAGCACCGGCGACCGCCAGAAACTTCAGGTTGGGCTGTTCTGTAAGTGAACCAGGCTCCTTTAAAAATGCCTCAATTCCACACGTTGACCTTTTCAGTTGTTCCACAGACAAGAGCCGCCACATCTGGGTTCTTACACGCAGGCAATTAAAAACAGCCAGAAGGCTGCGTCAGGAGCAAGACAGCGTGCCTGGGGCCTGTCTGACTGCTGGAGTGACTGCAGTGCACCACAGAACAGAATGAACGAGACAAACTAGCAAAATCTATCCCAGACTGTAAAGGGAGGAAGTGGGATCATGTGAATACCAACCCTCTTTAATGCAGTCACTTTGCTTTGTAGTTTTCTATACAGACTTACTTTGCTGTGATCTCAACTTTCCTCTTTGCAAAAAACGCCCTGAACATTTCAGATTTCTGCACTTACTGTAAACGTGACTTTTGTGCAGCACAGAAAACTCATTAAGCGCACTTTTCGTCAATCGCAGCATCGGTTTCTGCTGCTCCGTCTTGTGTTCGAAATAAAGAACATTTTTCAGTCCCACGATCGTCTTCAACAAAGATAGTTCGAGTTTAACGTCACCAACAATAACGAGAGGCGTGCTGACCTTTAGTGCCGAGCAGCGTGGGGGAGCTCTGCAGGAAGTCTCCGATCTTCTGCAGCGTTCCTTCCTTCCTGCTGCGGACGCTGATCTGGGAGTCGTGACGACCCGCTGGGGAGGAGCTCTGATCAAAGAACAGCGAAGCACAGTTAGCACGTATGAAACAGCTTCTCGTTAGGGCTGCGTCAGAGTTCTGGGTGAGTGCAGATAAGGACGTTTAAATGGGAAAACTGTCTGACAGTTGAGGTGTTTTCCACAGAGTAAGACTGATGTCACGGTGTGTGGGTACATCTGCGCTCTGCTTTTTAATTTCATTATTTAACAATCCTGTTTAACAGTCGCTCCTCTTCAAATAAAAGAAAAACAACTGAGCAGCACAATCAGCTGTCTCTGACCAACTCCACCGTCTTGGACTGCAGCAGCACATGAAGCAGCTCTTCACGTGTTACAGGCTCTACAGCTGCAGCTGACGGTGGCGTGGATCACACAACTGTGGCCTGACCACCGGACGGGAGAAGCTAAGGGGCGCCGCTAACTGGCCGTCAGTCAGAGACCATTAGTAAATTGATCCTGGATGGAAGTATTCTCTCATGTAAGAGAATTGCATTAAAGATGCAAGCACAGCGATGACGGGGCTTTTTGCATGTGGAGGTGAGCTGTGTCCTGTCATGTGGATGTTTGAAGACCTAATCTCTTCTTGGCTGGTGGACATGTTTAAATTCACCATAGTGCTGATGTGCACGTAATCAAAATTCAAAAGCTGCTTTTTGTCAGCATCGCTGAGAGCCTGCATTAAAACTAAACATGAGGTGGAGCTGACGACAAACAGGTAAATTCAATCCCCTATATTTCTGCGAATAAAATATCATCATGTGAACTTCGGCGAGCAGCAGAAACACTGCACTGTACAAGGCTTTGTTCAAGTGAAATGATGAATTAGTGATGTTCAGTGTGTGTCTGCACATCACATGGGTGTGTTTGTCTCTCTGTGGTTCTCACCTCTTCCCGGTGTGGGGTCAGCTTTGGCGTCAGTTTGGTTCTCGTGTTCCGCCTGTTCTCTGCCTCCACTTCCTCCTAAGCACAAACACACACACACACAAGCAACATGAAGGCATGTACAAAGTGTTAAAATACTGAGTGTGCACCGAGTCATCCGTACCAGAGGAGAAAAGAAAAATAACCACCAAAATGTTTCATAATGACAGGACGCTATGGACGAGATGGGTTTGGTCATTAATACGATGCAGACGAGAGCGAGATGTTCACACGCTTTGTCCGGTGGCCTCGGTAGGAGGTAAATGACACTTTTACCAGCCTGAATATTTCTCGAGAAGCGAAAACACGCTCCAATTTTGCCGTATTTACTTTGCAGAGGGACTCAAAGAGCTGACAAGCTCAACTACTACCAGTCAAAATATAATGTCTGGGTGTTTCCCAAACACCCAATTAAGCTTCAATGTTCGCTTTCAAACAAGATTCTGATGTCAGCAATGAGTTTCTGTCAACAGTGTGTGGAAAAGCTTTCATTACGGCAAACAAAGAAAAATGAGCGCCTGGACGTTTGCTTCAGTTCTGGATCGATACGCTTTTTGAGGGAAGCCTCTGCTAATGTGTGAATAACAGCTGGGTTTGTTTTCCTCCGTCGTTCCCAACTTTACCAGGGATCAGTCTATGAATCAACTATCCTGCAAGAATGTTTCATTAAAGGAAGCATCTCAGATTTCAGCGTATTAATGACAGGATGATGAGTGGAATGACATGATTGCATGGAGCTGTGAGTAAATGGTGAATGGATGCATTCAATTTGCAACTTCTAAATCTGGTAAGTTGCAGTTTGAAATTCAAAATTCACAAATGTTTCGTCTGAACCACTTTTGCTAAAGTTTCTTTCCACCTGTAAAAGAAACTTTGGACCTTTTGAAAAGCTGGAAACGCTTTCAGGTCCAAATAGCCGTAATACCAGGTTACAGCCTGTGCAAAGTGTACACGAGTAACATACAGAATGTAAACTGATGCAAATTCCCACTGGGTCAATCAAATAAAGGTGAGTATGAGAACAGAGTCTGTGTTTCATTGATACAGCCACCAATTAGAGGCAAGAAGAAAAAACAACAATGACAAAGAAGTCTTGAACACGTTCATTAAAAATGAGTAAAGATAAAAAAA